TTGTTGTGTACTGTAGGGCCAGAACTGACCCATTTCTGACCCTCAAGCAGGTTGTCAGAAGCAATTAATCATACAGGAGAAGATTGCTCATCCTTCTTCCATTGGGGGTTGAAATGCCTGCCTTTGGGATTACAGCATAGCTTCTTACCACTAGGGATTGCCAAAATAAACAAATCAGTCTTGCAGCCAGAATACTCATTGGAAGCAGGGATGGTGAGACTTTCTCTCACATACTTTGGGCATGCTATCAAGTATGGCCAGTCCATAGTGAAGGACACCATACTTGGAAAAACAGAGGGTCAGTGAAAGAGGCAGACCCTCAACCATATAGACTGCACAGGTGCTGCCGGTGGACCTAAACATAGCAGAGATTTTAGGATGACACAGATCAAGCAGGGTTTTGTTCTGTTACTTGCAGGGTCACTGATTTGGAGCTGGTCCCAAAACTCCTAACAACACAACAGATGATTCTGCATAGTCTGACAGGGAAAGGATCAGTGAGAGGTTGAAGGTGAGTATTGCACAGGGTCTAACACCAATGCTAGTGATGCTACGCTCTATAACACCCTCCTCTATTCCTAGTTCATCTTATTAGACATAACTCCACATAGAGTAAAAGATCATTTACCACAATCTATGAACTCAATCTATATGCAAAACAGATCATCCGGAAGCCTGGGCTCTATGAGGAGGAATGTGCATCAGGATTGGAGGAAGATTCATCAACAATCTGTGTTAGGTGGATGACACAACTCTGCTTACTGAAAGTGAGGGGGGCCTGAAGCATTTGCTGCAGGTCAAGGACTTCAGCCTTCAAGATGGATTGAAGCTCAACATCAAGAAAACAAAGATTCTCAGCACTGGGCTGATTGGCAGCATCATGATAGATGGTGAAGAGATGGAGATTTTTAACAGCTCCAGTTTGCTTGGCTCCACAATCAACACTCTTATTAGCAGCCACCAGGAAATCAAAAGACAAACTGGACTGGGGAAAATCTGCTGTTAGGGACCTCTCCCAAGTACTGAAGAGCAATGATGTCAGTCTAGAGACTAAGGCACACCTGAATCAGTTCATGGTCTTCACACTTACTTGCTACACATCAGAGAGTTGGACAATGACTAAGGATGACAGAATTGATGATACCTTAGGGTTGTGGTGCTGGAGAAGAGTGTTGAACATACCACAGACTGCTAAGAGAACAAACAGATTTATATTGGAGAAAGTGAAAACAAGTTTCTCTTTGGAGGCAAGGATTTTTAAGCTCCATGTCACAAACTTTGGGCACAAGGCCAGGAGAGACTAGTCTCTCCTGGAGGACATCATGCTTGAAAGGGTGGAAGAGCAGTGCAAGAGAGGAAGACCTCGGATGAGATGGTCTGACACAGTAACTAGGTTAATAAGACAGATGTTTTGGAGTGTTAGACTGGCTCAGAATAGAGCAGGCTTTAGAGTTACTGTACATAGGGTTGCTTTGAATCACAGGTGACTTGATGACACAGAACAACTTTCTACAAGTAGCAATCAAACTGACTGCAGTAATAAGCAAATAACTTATTTGCATATACATAATACATACAAATTGAAATGTGTGAGCTAGAAACCACATGGGCTATCAAATTTTTTTTTAGAGGTTTTGGATTTCCATTCATTGCCACAATTTTCTCCCTTCCCACCCCTCCCCACCAGCTTGCTTCCCCCTCCGAAGAGAGAAAAAAAAAGAAAGAAAATTCCTTCATTAGTATACAATCCCCACGTCCCTTCCCCCCCACCCCTAGTACACTTCTCTAGGGCTATCAAATTTTTACTGATCTTGCCAGATGCAGTCTTACCATTTTTCAATTGTTTGTTTTACTGGAAAATGTTGAAAAGTTCATATTGTTCAGTAATATGTAACAGGTTTCTGCTCAACACAGGTTTTGGTTTCACTTGGTACCACTGGTTTTTAACAGGTATCCGGTGCTGACCATATCTAACTGGGGTAATAGGACAGATGTTGTCTAATTTTTTAATAATAATTTTTTAAATGATAAAGGTTATCACATGAAATAAGGTGTTGCTGTGGAAAGAAAATTTTTAAAAGTCAGAGATATTATGAGAGATTCTTACTAGGGCTAATGGCTGTAACAGTACATTGACTGGTAACTGTCAGCTCAGACTGAGTTTACAAGTGGCTGTCGCAACAAGGATATCACTACTTATGTCAGATGGATGCTGAATGAAAAAATAGAACCAGAAGAATGTCTACTTGTGTTTTATTGACTATGCAAATGCATTTGATCATGTGAATCATAACAAACTATGGATAGCATTGAAAAGAATGGGAATCTCAGAACCCTGTGATCACACAAAACCTATACCCAGACCAAGAAGCTGTTGTCTGAAATTAATAAGGAAACACTGCATAGTTTAAAATCAAGAAGGGTGTGTACCAGGGTTGTATCCTTTCTCCATATTTAGTCCATCTGTATGCTAAGCAAATAATTTGTGAAGCTGGACTCTATGAAGACTCAGATGTTTTGCAGATGACACAATCTTGCTTGCTGAAAGTGAAGAGGAATTGCTTCAGAAGATCAAGGACTAGACTTCAATATGGATTACACCTCAACATCAAGAAAAGTCCTTACCACTGGACAAAGAGGCTACATCATGATAGATGGAGAAAAGATTGAAACTGTAATTGATTTCTCCTTACTCAGATCCACAGTCAACACCCTTGGTACCAGCAGACAGGAAATGTTATTGCACTGGGCAAATCCACTGTCACAGAGTGTTCTAAAATACATCTATATGCAGAATAGATAATTAGCAGGGCTATATGAGGGGGAATGTGGCATCAGGATTGGAGGAAGACTCAACAACAACCTACATTATGCAGAGGACATAACCTTGTTTGCTTAAACTGAAGAAGACCTAAGTGCTTGCTGCAGAAGGTCAAGGATTGTAGTCCTCAATATGGATTGAAGCTCAGTGTCAAGAAAACATTCTCACCACTGAGCCAATTGGTAGCACCATGGTAGATGAAGAAGAGATTGTGGTTTTTAACAATTACAGCTTGCTCACCTCCAAAGTTAACACTCTTAACACCAGCAGTCAGGAAATCAAAAGATGAATTGCATAGGAAACGTGGCTATCAGGGACCTCTCCAGAATGCCAAAAAAACCCTTAGTCCAGCCCAGTCTTCTCAATTACTTGTTATGCATCAGAGAGCTGGAAAATGACTAAGGATGACAGAAGTGGTGATGCCTTTGAGTCGTGGTGCTGGAGAAGAGTCTTGAGCATACCATGGACTGCCAAGAACACAAATAGGTCTGTCTTGGAGAGAGTGAAACCAAGTCTCTCCTTGGAGGCCAGGATTAAATAGGTTAGGGGCACCTAAAAAGAATTTGAAGTATTTGTGACCTTGAGATTGATCTTGAAAAAAAACCCTAAATAACTGCTAAAATTGAATAATGAGACACACAATGCCATCATAAAAATTTCTCTCATAATATATATTCTTCTGATTATATTGTTATTCTCTTTCCCTTTATAGGCATCTATAATAAATAAACCCAAAGGCTAAAAATAAATTAAAAAAACCAAACCTATAAAACAGGGACAGAAGAATCAGAATTCAATTTTATTACACATTGATAGAAATTGTGAAAAAGATTTACATTTTTTCCATATTACAGTGAAACATTTCAACAGAATAAGATATATTATAAATAAAATTTTGCTGATTTGTATAACTGAAACAAGTTTGTATTCTTCAGCATAAAGGAAAATGACTTAGGTAAATGATTGTGTAAAACTTTTAAATCCAGATAAAAGCATATGGCTTCATTATTAACATTCAATCTAGTACAATACTAAATTATTTCCATTATCTATTAGCACCCATTTATAAAGATGCATTCCTAACAGAGTTCTAATCAGGTGTAATAGCAGCAAATTAACAACAGTTGAAAAATACCAAGCATACATTTCTGCTACTTAGTAAACTGTCAGCATACTTAACAGAATTTTAATTAACTCTTACCGTCCATTAATTTGTTTTCAAATTTCTCTCAATAATCTGAAAACTGACTACATAAACTCAAATGATTCTTATTTTTGTCTGCACACAAGTAACACTAAAACATCATTTGACTTAAGTAAAACTTTCAAATTACTTTATTTGCATTGAAGATAGGAACAAAACAAAATTTTTCTGATGGACTGCTAATTTTCCACAGTTGGTTTCAAATATATATACAAAATAATTAAACTTCATGTTACAAGGAGATATATTCTAGAACAAATTATCTTAGAAGTTATAATTTTTAATACAGAAGTCTTCAGTAGATCAGAACACAACAGAATGACTTGATTCTTCTTCCAAGTGATTATAAAAAAATAAAAGCACAAAATTATTCCTACTACTTGGGCTGAAGATTCTAATAACTAGGTCTAAATTTGGACTAAGGTACAGTTTTGGAAATAAGTAGTATAGAAGTTATAAGTGTTGTCTGGTTTCTTTATGTAAATGCATTTAAAATACTGCATGTCTGTGATTTAGAATGTCAAATTACAGCATTCAAAAACAGCAGATGCCTATGTTTGAGAGGCAATATTTGGTCTGCTATGAAGAATAATAAAGGAAGAAAAGATTTCTTTTCTAAAGAAAAGAATATTAAATTATATCAGAAAAAGCCTGGTCCCTAAAATAAAAGGGCCATAATTTAAAAGAACAATACTACTTTTGCATTGACTCAAAAAAGCATTATCACCATTATTAGAAATAATGTAATACCACCTCATTCTTTTCTTGTATTACAATCATTATGTATACATACATAAAAATACACACACTGCATGGTGACTAAGCAATTCTGAAATACATCCAGTCTAAGTCACAGCATGCACAAATCATTTATATCTGCTCATTCACACATGAATGAAATTTCAGTTAAGTATACCAGTAAATTCCAAATAATATAATTTTAAAAATCTGGCTACAGTATTTTATTATTTTGCTGAATTACATTTAGGAGAAAAGAAGCTAGCTGCTTCAACTATTTTAATACTAGTGTATTCTGGACCGTATTATACAAATACATGTCTAGAAACGGAAATAATGATCAATTTCCCATGAGGAAAAATTCCTTAGCCTGTGTCACTAGTATGTACTTGCAAAACATTTTAACACTGCAAACATGAGAAGGTTCCAAATTGGGTACATGAACAGGTGTCTACTCTACGGCAATGATGCTGGTGCACATCCACACAAGGCCTCTGAGTGGCATCAATCCACTGGAGGGAGCAGCTTATCAATGAATTGCTTGACATCCATCATTTCCTGTGTGAAATAAATTGATTTAATAAGAAGTTGTTATATAAAGCAGAAACTACATCCTTATTAGGATACAAATTAAACTGTTGTTACTGATCGCCATCGGGATGAGCACAACTCATAGCGACCCTATGAACAAAAGTCCTGAAGCCCTTCCACAACCATCACCATTTATCAAAATTCCGTTTCCAGACACATGTTGTTTAGGAAGTGGATGCCACTTCTGCTTCAAAACTAAATTGAAACTACCACTAACTCTATCTATCAGTGTACAAAGATAAGATTAAAGCATATTTTCACTATTATAGTTAATAAAAAGGCACAATAAAGAAATGAGGCACCAGAACAGATTTTGGAGTATTTCCCAAGGCTATTACTACTGCCCATTCATATTATAGCTCTCATTAATTATCTAGTCCTAGGACAATTGTACTGTATTATATTTGAGCAACATAAAACACTAGGGTGAAAGCTTTTAAAAGAGCAAAGCAGTTTTTATAGTTATACTAAGAAGTACGTATTCTAGAGTGCTAAATTCTTATCATGAAAATACCTTGTGCATTTCAGTAATATACAACTAATCCTCTGAAAATGAGCATGTATCTAGGATATTTTTTTAAAACCCTCTCAAATTCATTGTCATCAAGTGAGAAATGACTCATAGCTGACCCTCTAGCAGCTTTTCAGGGACTATGAGCGAAGACCAGATGAGTTGTGGGAGGATGTCAAAGATATCATTTAGGAAGAGTGTAAACGGTCATTACAAAGACAGAAGAGGAAGAAAAGACCAAAATGGATGTCAGAAGAAACTCTGAAGATTGCACTGGAGCG